CAGTAATGAGGACAGCAACAATAATATGTGCTGTTTCTTTTTTTAGCAGCATAGTCTCATTTGTATAAACAGCAATATTCAGGAAACTGCAAACTGACATTTTCTTCTGTTCACTTTTATAATTGTGGGATCAAAAGTGAAAAATGCTGAAAAAAGACTGCTGCTTCTACTTGGCGAAAATGTTATTCAATAACTAAATAACTTTTGTGATGTATAACAATCTCCCACTAATATAAATAAAACATCTAAAATAACTAAATAACCAGAGTTAGAACCATTCCAAGACTTATGTATATAGAATAACAAGGACTAGCAATAAAAACAAAATAAAAACGACCTACACAATGAAAGCCAGATATTATACATTTAAAATACAGCAAAAAAATTTTTTTACTTGTTTTTGGAGAGCAACAAGGCATATTCAGCCAATATTTAGGCATAGAATGTGCCGTTCCAGGAATGGACCATGATCTAGTTTCTTGCAGTAGCAGCCAATGGGACTAACACAATGCTATTTCTTTCACTGTTCAATCAAACTCCTCCACTGCCTTAGGGAATGAACTAACCCATTTTAACGTCAGAGATAAGCTTTGTTTTCGCAGCAGAGAACATGCATTCCAACTATAATGTCCTACCTTTTCTTCCTCATGGAGGAAAATTGATAAAAATTTTTAACCTTCAATAAACAATTCATAAAGGTCTGACAAGCTTCATGATCGCTAACATTCAAATCCATTTTCAAAACTGGAGTTATACAGTATTATTTCTGTGCATGAGACTATACTTATTGTTCACAAAATTTATGAATAACTTCTGGAGGATGATATATAAGTCGTATTAACATATGAGTTGACAAACATTAAATTTTGTTCCATTAGAAATTGACAGAGAAGTCAGAATGGGGATTAATTAAGTCATCTGGAAGTCATTCATTGAGCTACAAGCCATTTCAGGTTATAAAAAACGCTGTTCCCTTAATTGTCGTTCCTTCATTTTCTGTATTTATATACACACTCCTACTCCGTAAAGACCTCTCCAACTCTCCCACCACTTCCAACTATGAACAGTAACCTCAAATCACACGAAACTAGACATAAGAGACTCCCAGGATTTCTTCAAGATAAACCCAGGATCAGTGCCCTCTGGGATTCAAAGAACTGTAGCTCTTTCATTGCAATATTCCTTCAGAACCACCTTTCCCATTCCTTCCCTGTGGACACCCGCCGACTCGCGTTTTGGGGGTGGGATGGGAGACAGTAGGCGTAAGGCCGCCAGCAAGATACGCTCTTCCCAGCCAAACGTGCACGTCTCAGGCCGAAATGCCTGGGGCTCTTCCTGCAGCACCGGTGCGGCCAACCCTCGCTTCCCCAGGGCAGGGCTCAGCTCAGGTCAATGCAACCAGCCCAGTCAGGCCGGGAGCGGGCCGCCTCGGCCCGCCAGTCCACGGCAACCTCTGGACCCCCGCCAGCGGGGATGGGCGTGGGCCCCAGCGGCCACCGCCCCGCCAACTCGAGCTCAGGAGGAGAGAGTGAGCCCCACCCGCTACGCCAGCCCCGGACCTACCTGGAGGGGAAAGGAAAGCTCCTGGACAGCGGCCACCGGCCCGAGGGCGGGCGCCTAGGCGGCCGGAGCCCGTCCCAGCAACCCCAAGTATCCCTGGTGGGGCACAGCGGGTAGAGATGCCAGAGGGCTGCCGCGGGCCAGTGTAGCCTGTCGCGGGGGTCGCGAGGACCTGACTCTCCCCTTAACACCAGGCCGCCGCCGCCGCCGCCATTTTGCCTTCCACTCAATGTCGCCGCCGCCGCACTCCTTTGCAGGTTTCCCGGATGTGGGCATTTCCCGGCGTCGCTTGCGCGGAGGCCGAAGACTGGGGGCTTCTGCCCGCCCGGTAGCAGCTAGGGAGCGCGCTACCTGTGGCCCCTGGGCCTGGTTGCGTCGCCTGCCGCTCAGAGCCTTCGTGAGCGTCGCCCCACGTCGCTCCCGCCTGCCCCTGCCCAGAAGACTCGCCCGCGGCCATGGGTTAAGGCTCTCTCCTGCCCAGCTCACTCGGTTGATTCAATCCTTTTTCCCATTGATCTCTTTGGACCGAGCAGGGATGCGCATTTTACGGAGCTTCGTTCTCGGAAGGGAACAACTGTGAGTTGCTCTGGGAAACCTCGCTGTGGACCTCAAAATTCGAGTTTTGGCGCTTTGAAATAAAATTTTCTTCTTGCTTAGCGTTCTTTCCCCGAACAAGTCCACGAGCTTCCAGCATCTGTATTTTCTGAATCAGCCAGATAAGAAGTTTTTGAGCCAGGACCGATTGATTAGCAGAGTTTAGAGATCTTACCTGTCAGCTGCATCCGTAGGAGGTCGTTATTGCCATAATTGGAATAACGGTGACGGTGTGACAAGACAAGAGGTTTTACTTCTTGTAAAGTTGAATGGAAAATCTGGGATGGGATCGTTGGGTTTGATGTGTAAGGCACTGTCCACACTTTGTGAAGAATGCCTTTGCCAGTTTTTCCTCTAGAAAAAATACAGTGTTTTCAAGTACCTTCTTTTGTGATTTTTCTACTATAGACTACAAAAAAATTAAAGACGTCTTTTTCTGATGTTAAAGTAATAACTGGCTGCTTACTGTATTCAGAAATCCAAACGTGAAAACCTGTTAAACGATTATGTTCTGCTGGCCATGATGGCTCACGCCTGTAATCCCAGCACTTGGGAGGCCAGGCGGGCGGATCACAAAGTCAGGAGTTCAAGACCAGCCTGGCCAACACAGTGAAACCCCGTCTCTACTAAAAATACAAAAATTAGCTGGGCATGGTGGTGCTCACCTGTAGTCCAGCTACTGAGGAGGCTGAGGCAGGAGAATCTCTTGAATCAGGGAGGCAGAGGTTGCAGTGAGCCGCACCACTGCACTCCAGCCTAGCACTTTGGGAGCCCAAGGCAAGTAGATTGCTTGAGTCCAGGAGTTCAAGACCAGCCTGGGCAATATAGTGAAACCCCATCTCAATAAAAATTGCAAACAATAATCAGGCTTGGTAGTACATGTCTGTAGTCCAGAAACTTGGGAGACCGAGGTGGGAGAATCACTTGGGCCCAGGAGGTCAAGGCTGCAGTGAGCCAGGGATCACACTACTGCACTCCAGCCTAAGTGAGAGTTAAATCTTGTCTCAAACATCTTTCCCAATCAATGGGATTAAAATGGAGAGAGCATGCTGGGCTAATTATGTAGAAAATAATTAGCTTCTACAAAAGATACAAAGAAAATTGTTAGTCCTTTCCTATATTGAAATGAAATTTTTCTTAGAACAAGAAGGATAGGCCCATATTAAAGATTAAAAACCATCTGTATTAACTCCTGAATATAGTAAGTGTGGCTTAGGAGAATCACATGTGAACGCTTCAGAAAGCTGAGACAGCGTTACAAAGGAAAATTATTCCTAGAAAAACGATGGCAAGGTTTCTGTCATAATCAGCAAGGTAGACAATGTATGAAAAAGTGTTTATCTTGGAAGTCACACTTAAGAGGGCCTCTGGCCGAGCATGGTAACTTATGCTTGTAATCCCAGCAGTTTGGGAGGCTGCGGCAGGTAGACCACGTGAGGTCAGGAGTTTGAAACCAGCCTGGCCTATGTGGTAAAACCCCATCTCTACTAAAAATACAAAAAAATTAGCCGGGTGTGGTGGCACACACCTGTAATCCCTGCTACTAGGGAGGCTGAGACAGGAGAATCGCTTGAACTGGGAAGTGGAGGTTCTAGTGAGCTGAGATCTTGCCATTGCACTCCAGCCTGGGTGAGGGACACTTAGACTCAAAAAAAGAAAAAAAAAAGAGGACCTTTGACAATGAGGAATATTTTTTAAAGGGACAACAAGATTGTGAGTTTAGCTCAGGTCATTTAATAGTGATTCATTGCTTACTATGGTTCAGATACTGTTAAATAGTTAATACACTAAGACATGGGCCCTGTTCTTGATCTTGCAGCCCAGTAGGGGGAGACAGGCGCCTTAACACATTCCTTTGAGCACAATTTAAGTTCTGCACAATGGGCTTTTGAAGCAGAGTGCAACTTAGTCCAGATTGCTGGAGGCCAGTAAAAGCTGTCTGGAGAAAATGACACCTAGAGTGAGTCTTGAAGGATAAGAAGGATTTAGCCAAAAATGGCAAGAAACAGTGAGAAGGAAACCTTGACTGGAGAGGCTATAATAATCACTTTTGAATATTTGAATATGAGAGGAATTTTGTGTGGGTGGCTCCTAAGACAAATGAAAGCAAATTTCAGTTCAGTATATGAAAATTCATTTATTTAGTGAAACCCTATGGTAAAAGATCCCGACACAAAGCAGATTCAAATATAATTGGTGATTGGCTCAACTCATAGGCTCACATGATCAGTGCGTTAACATACACCAGGACTATACCTTTTTACAGGATTGCTTTGGGTCCCACTCTTACACTAAAATCCCGCCATAATGCTGTATCAAGTAGAGCTGTTCAAATGTGAAGCCGCATTGGAAAATGAGAATATTTATCACCATATATATATATATATATATATATACACACACTTTTTTTTGAGATGCAGTTTCACTCTTTCACCTAGGCTGAAGTAAAGTGGTATGATCTCGGCTCACTGCAGGCTCTGCCCCTGGGTTCAAGCGATTCTCTTCCCTCAGCCTCCTGAGTAGATGGGATTATAGATGCCTCCCACCATGCCCGGCTACTTTTTTTTTGCATTTTTAGTAGCAACCAGGTTTTGGCATGTTGGCCAGGCTCATCTTGAACTCCTGACCTCAGGTGATCCGCCCACTTTGGCCTCCCAAAGTGCTAGGATTACAGGCGTGAGCCACCATGTTTTTAAGAATAGGGTGGATGATAATTTGTTGGGAATACTGTAGAAGGGATCATGAATTTTAGGCTGGAGATGCTTGCCAAGGTACTTTCTACCTCTAAGAACCTGCAACCCTTGAAAGAAACTATAGTTTAATAAGGGCAGTGACAATGAACAGATTCATAAATTATGGTGTTATATTACATATAGCTTAGTTTCTTATTAAAATTGGCAGAACTTGTCAATTGGCATGAAACGTAACACTGTTAAAATGTATTCCTCTTATGGTTACAAATACCCTGAAAGCCTTAAAGCCTGTACCACTTACTCACTCACAATAATCAAGGGAAATTTTATATATGGCTGCTAGAAATTGAGAAGATGTTAGCAACATATATGAAAACTTCAGAGTTTTCGGCAGTAGTCATTACAGATAAAAACAGAAGAGGCCGGGTTTGATGATTCTCACCTGTAATCTCAGCATTTTGGGAAATCAAGGTGGGTGGATTACTTGAGGTCAGGGGTTCAAGACCAGCCTGACCTACATAGTGAAACCCTGTCTCTACTAAAATTACAAAAAAATTAGCCAGGTATGGTGGTGTGTGTCTGTAATTCTAGATACTTGGGAGGCTGAGGCAGGAGAATTGCTTGAACCTGGGAGGCGAAAGTTGCAGTGAGCTGAGATCAGGCCACTGCATTCCAGCCTGGGTGACAGAGCAAGACTGCGTTAAAAAAAAAAGAGAGAAAAGAAATTTGGGGTGAGGCAAAAAACAGGCTTACTATTCACTGTACATGGAAAATGTGCCACCTGAGAGCCAGGGTCTTTTCCACGAATGAGAATGAGTTCAAGGCCCACTCACAGCAAGATGTTAGCCTGCTGAGTAGGATCTGAGGGTGCCTGCACTGGGCAGAGAGGGCCACTGCCTCAGCAGGCTTTAGGCTATAGTAATAGACGTTTGTACAAAGGGAAATAGAAGGGCAAAGGAAAATCCATAGCTATGGTGTTTTAAAAAATTATTATTTTTATTTATTTATTTTTGAGGCAGGGTGTCACTCTGCCACCCAGGCTGGAGTGCAGTGGTGCAACCATGGCTCACTGCAACCTTCATCTCCCAGGCTCAAGCAATCCTTCCAGTTCAGTCTCCTGAGTAGCTAGAACCACAGGCCCAAGTCACCATGCCTGGCTGTTTTTATTACTGAATCAGAAAGAGTGAAAATTGGTCCTGAAGCATTGTGAGCCACTGAGTTTTCATTTTTCCCATTTAATATGAATGTATATATTTCTCTGCCAAAATACTGTGTTTAACACCTCCTCCAGGCCCAGAGCTATTACTTACTGCTAAAACAATGTTTTTATTAAGAAGCCACCTAGTCTTATAGAATTTCTCAACAGTTGCATCCCATGTTGTCATTTAACATGTTCTTTTGTTTCCTGTAGTGTCTGTAAACTGGCAGACAGGTAAATCAGGTTCAGTTTTGTTGCTAGGAATTGAGGAAGGACAGCTAGGCTGGTAACAGTCCTTGAACTGATATTTAGGGTAACGGCAACTATCTGAATTATCTGGTTTACTTTTCAGTGCTAGGAAAAAACCTACCCTGAGCTGAACAAGTGTGTGTTTTTACTTACTCCTGGAATGCTACAAAATGAAAGACAAGTAGTTCCTTCTGGGCAGGAAATTTCATATGTGGTATTAGTTACTTCTTTTGTATGGCATCAGGAAGCACATAATATCTACTTGTGTAAAAAGAAGAAAACTTCAGATGCATTAAATAATTAAATTCCAAATGCAATCATTACATACAAAATATAAAAACCACAAAATAAAATGAATTACAGGTTAACATTTACATAACTCTAGGACAGGATAACATGATGCCAGGGGACAAAAAGTATTAAGAAAGAAATCAAATGATTTGGCCAGGTGTGGTGGCTCACCCCTGGAATCCTAGCACTTTGGGAGGCCGAGGTGGGTGGATCACCTAAGGTCAGGAGTTTGAGACCAGACTAGCCAACATAGTGAAACCCCATCTCTATAAAAATATAAAAAATTAGTCGGGCGTGGTGGCACATGCCTGTAATCCCAGCTACTCGGGAGGCTGAGGCAGGAGAATTGCTTGAACTGGGGAGGTGGAGGTTGCAGTGAGCTGAGATCATGCCATTGCACTCCAGCCTGGGTGACAGAGCAAAACTCCGTCTCAAAAAACAAAAACAAAAACAAAAAAAACCAAGAAACTAACTGATTTGAGCACACACAAAATGCAAATTCTATGAAAAGCACCATATTTAGCCTGGGCAACTGTGAAACCCCATCTCTACTAAAAGTACAAAAATTAGGCATGGTGGTACACACCTCTAGTCCCAGCTATTCAGGATGCTAAGATGGGAGGATCATCTGAGCCCAGGAGGTCAAGGCCACAGTGAACCATGATCATGCCACAGCACTCCAGCCTGGGCGACGGGAGTGAGACTATCTCAGGAGGAAAAAAAAAAAAAAATCAACAGAATACAGATTAAAAAAAAAGCCCCATAAGTAAAGCTAAAAACTAAATTTAAAATACCTGTATCATACGACCAAAGGCAAAAAAACAAACAAAAACCATATATAAAAAGATGTTACAAATAAGAAAATGCCAAACTACCTCAAAAAATGAAAAGGATATAAGCTAAGAATAAAAGCAAGTTGTAAAAGAAATGCAAATTAAACCAAACAGGTATTATAGCAGTAATCATAATGGTGAGAAGCTGGAAATATGAAATAATCAATAATAGGCAAC